AAAATCATACACTACAGAGTTCAAAGCCAAAACTCTTGAACTTCTGGATAACTACACGGAAGTGAAGATAAGAAACAAGTGGGTTAAGGTTGCAGAGAAACGAGGCGTCAGTCTGGTAGTAAAATGGTAGTAAAATGGAATGAGAACAGGGAGAAAATATTTGAAGAACTGCAACTCAACAAGAACAAGCAAAATAAAGGAGGTGTGAAGGCGGCAAGACAAAGAAGAAAGTTTGTAGGCGAGAAGGCACAAAGTAGTGACAAATATCCASTGGCAGCCGATCGAGTTGTTCTCGAATTCAAGCTTAGAAGAGCAAAAGGCTGTAAAGTGTCAAAGCTTTGGATCAAGAAGAAAATGAAAGCCAAAATCGAGGTGTGTTATGGTATGTGTTATGGATAATTGGTTTCAAAGATTCAAAAAACGTCATAATATCTCATTCAAACGAAGGTCAAACAAGAAAATAGATTCAGCAGATGATGGTCGAACAACAATTCAAAGATTTCATCGCAATCTCAGACAAGCTGTAAAGTCTAGAAGACGACGGAACAACTCAGCGTTGGACCCCAAGTATGGACGATGGCTTCCAGAAAACCGCTATAATATCGACCAGGTGCCCTTGCCTTTCATAATAGACCAAGACAAAACTTATGAAATTACAGGTGCAAAACAAGTGTGGGTCTCCCAGCCTTCTACTGGCCTAGATAAGAGGCAGGCAACCTTGCAACTCTGTATTTGAGGAGGAGATCAAAATGTAAAACCAACAATTGTCTTAAGAGGGAAAGGCAATGTGTCTCCAGCCGAAAAGGCACTGTATAACAAAGGAGTAGATGTTTATTTCCAAGCATCTGCTTGGATGGATAGCAATCTTAACATGCAGTGGTTGTCAAGGACATTACTCCCTGCCATAATAGACTAAACCAGTGAGAAATTGAGGCTTGTAGAAAAGAGGTTAATGCATCTGTTTACCTCCTCCCTGAAAATCACACTGATAAGGTGCAACCCATAGATGCAGGGATTGGAAAGGTCTTCAAAGGAAGAATGGGAGAGGCCATGGAGAAATGGCTCGAAGAGGATGAAAATCTTGATTTGTGCATGATAAAATTAGTGCTAAGGACCGACGAATTCTATTGACAAAGTGGGCTGGAGAAGCCYGGAAGTAGTTGTCAAGTGACACAAATTTGTTCACAAAACTGTTCCAAAAAACTGGCTGTTTGATAACAGCTGATGGTTCAGATGATGACAAAATCCGACCCCAAGGGCTAGAGCCTTACCTCATTTAGGGATTTTAAATGCTATGGATTTAAATTACAGTACAGTATTGCTACCAATATGCCAGACATTGGCCTCTGTAAGTAAATATTTTTAAAGAGGAACTTTATCATGTTACTTTATCATGTTGTATACAAGATTTATTATTGTTTTTATAGTTAAGGTTACGTTACAGAATAGGTTTGATTTTAACAGTATTGTTGTATATTATTGCTTACCGAAGCCTCGAAGAATACTGTTATTGGACAGACCACATGATTTAAAAATTCTAGTTTTCTTMTTGAACAAAAGTTAAGAACCTAATTAAGAACCTAGTTAGCCYAATTTCAGGCTAAGTTGAAAAAACATAGGTTCTTATACGCGGGTTTTTACTGTATGACGTCATCGCTTAATTACCGCGAGCAATTATCTAGCGTTATTTTTCGGATTGCGTGATATACAGGTAATACTTTGGCGTTATATGATTTTCAGTCATTGTGACTTTTATTTAAAATCAAAGTTCAGGCAATGGGAGACAGTTCTCATGGGACACTAGGATTATTTAGGAAAATTTACATAATTTCCCTGTTTCCCTATCCCCCCTGCCCCCTATTCCCTCCCCCCCTTGCCCCCCTATTCAATGTTGGAAGATGCCCATGTTTAATACCCATTCAAAAATTGCTCTCACATCAAACCAACATTGAATATATATTCTCTGAAAGGTACACAAATTTAAGCTTGTCCCGAATAAAAATGACCACCATTGTAGTTTTTCAATTGTAGATTCAAACAACTTATCAACCACTCTACCAGAATCACTGAAGATACAAAATCACTTATCGACTTRATTGCAATTCGGAAGTAATATCGGCTCATCTTGGCTACCATGAACTTTATTATTTATTAACTGTGTCCGTAAACTGTAAGAAAGCTCAAATCTTAATTAAAGACGCTTAGAAATTATGCAATAATATGGATGCTTTTCACAAGGACGTTAAAGGTGCTGTAATAATGAGCCTGCGAATTTCTGTGATTTGAAGAATATCTTTGTTGCAATTGTGGGTCGCCATGCTCCTCTTATTCAGTGTTGCATACAAGGCATTGATAATTGTCCATGACTCAATAAGYGTATAAAAACAACGAGGCAAAGGGAACATTTTCACAAGAAAGCGTAAAGTAGTAATTTAGCAGAGGACTGGGCCAACTACTGTCATTTTCGTAATCGCACAACAAATGAATTGAGAAAAGAATAGAATCAATAGGCGGGTTATTGACGAGAACATTAATGATCATAGATCATTTTGGAAAACAATGAAAAAGATCCTAACGAGTGAGAGTAAGAGTTCCCTAATGTGAAAGTTAATGGCATTGTTTCTTCGGACAAACTGTGCATTGCAAGTGCATTTAATATATTCATTTCTACAGTTGCAAAACCAGCTGTTGGACTCATTACGATCTTCCTGTGCTTTTGTTAAAGGATATTGCTGACATTGTTTCTAAACCTTTGACACGCATTCTAAACATACTGTTTGATACTGTTCAAGTTCGCATTGATTGGAAATCTGCTCGCATTATTCCTCTTTTCAGGAAAGGCAAGGTAGACGAGATGGATAATTATCGACTGATATCTATATTACCTGTGCTATCGAATCTTTTAGAAAGGTCAATTCATCTACAGCTATACAGTCACCTGCAGCAAAACAAAATCTTCAGTCGCTATCAATGCGGATTCAGGAAGTGTCATTCATTTGAGTTTGTCGCCCTGAGTTTCTGTGATCATATTCGAAGAAACATTGACCAAGGTCAATTGACTGGTGCAGTTTTAATAGATCTTTGCAAGGCATTCAAAAAGGTCGATCATTCCACCCTACTGAAAAAGCTATCGGACATTGGAGTTGCTGGAACCGAGCACATTTGGTTCTCTAGCTACCCCAGTAAACGAGTGGTTGAGTTCCAAGTGAGTGTTATCGAATCCGAAATACGTCACTGCTGGCGTGGGTGAGGGCTCTATCCTAGGGCCACTGTTATTCATTCTGCATATAAACGATATGCCCCAGCTGACAAGCGAGTGCAGTATTCTGATGTACGCCGATGACATAGTTGCATTGCTGTTCTCATGCTTCTGTTATTCAAGATAAGCTAAATGATGAACTAAATTTAAGAGCGGATGTCCCCAAGGATCGAGAATCTGATTTCAGTGACCTCTTGGTCAAATTCTTCATACTTTGCCAGATGACAACTTTAGGTAGACCTTTTCCAAAAAGCATATTAAAAGATTCCAGGGAATTATTATCTTTGAGAATTCTTCAAAGTATAATATTGCAGCTGCAACATAATTATCTTAATAAGAATATGTTTAGAGAAACATAATATAAGAAACGATAAAGAGAGAAAACACACGGTGTTTTGGTTTTTGTAATTGCRACGTTTCGATGCTTGATAATGGCGTCATGACGACACCGAAACGTCGCAATTACAAAAACCAAAACACCGTGAGTTTTCTCTCTTTATCGTTTCTAACATAATTATCGTGTCTCGCCAAAGGTCGAAACCAAAGTGATGGAATGACCTTAAAAACAATTTCAATGTGTAATCGATCATCGATTATTCCCCATTATCGGGTCAAAACCAACTAACACATCAACTTCAGCAGATTTTGTCACTTGTTTCACTTGAATTGCASTTGCCGGCCGAAATTTTTCTTTTTTATAACCTAATCAGAATTATATGACAGAGTTTAATATTGTATTCTATCACTTGGCTACCAGAGTGGGAGATCCCATTGCATAGCTTGTATCAACAAGACTTGACATATATATTTGTAATAGATTGTCACAACAAGTCAAACGACACTGACTCACTAGGCGAGAGAGTTGAACTTTGACAGCTGCATGCCAGCAAAGATTTGGCACGTATTGTAAATTCCCTACTGAGAGAGAAATAAGCGAAGGAGAAAATCCAGATGAGACCCTAYACTAGAYTACAAAACGTGACTGGCCGCGTGTGAATCCTCTCATCTGGAATCAAATCCCAGCTCCTTCCTTGTRGGAGGCATTGTGGCCATGATCAAAGCCACAGGACATTATCCTAAATTCCGCGCAAAAGGGTAACAAGGAATGAATTGATCAAGCTATTGACCGACAWTATGGCTCTCACGATTCAAGGTCATCACGATTTGAATACCKCCCGCCGTCAACGATGAAAAATGATCCCTTAAGCGTAATCCTTACTGTGTCTGAGCAACAAAAGTAACGTTAACATGAAAATAGATACTGGAGCAGGCACCTGCGTTCTAACAACTGACATCCTCCAGGTACTACCAATAAATATCAACCTGCGGCCTTCTGACAGTATATTGAAAGGATATGGCGGATCTCAAATACAAAACGTACTGTTGCAGTACATGTCTTAGCACTTTACAAAGAATAAGTCGACAAGATGATAAGAGGCTACATAATTACCGAAGTAACTGAACCAATGGAAGTGTATGCAAAGTTAGCAAAACCAGCGATGGTAAACAAAAAGTACGCCTATGCCTCAATCCCAAGGACCTAAACAAAAACATTCGTTCAGAACACTCCATCGAAGTGGTCCTGGTTTTAATAATAGCCCTGCAAAGATGTCCTACAGTGATTTCAATAAACCAGTAAACAATTGTCAGCAGCTTCAAATGTAAATTAAAAAAAAATGTTAACCATAAGTAACATATATAAGAAAAGAATATCATGAAAATAATAACTGTAAAACATTGATGCTATATAACATTTATTTATTCTAGTTGATCTTAATTGTTGTCATCAATTAATTTGTACAAAGCATCGCCACAAAGGGACATAAATGACGTTTTACCATCTATCTTTGCTCCAAGTCTTTCATAGAAATTAATAGCACTTTTATTGGCGTCCGTAATATCCCAGTTCATATAGGAACATCCTTTCCTAACGCTTATCTGCAAAACATCAATAGATAAGATATTAATATAACCCTCTCCTTGAGATAACAATATAACCCTCTCCTCTTTATCTCGTCAAATCGATAATTGAAACAAAACTTGAACAATTTGTCACTTGTAGGCATGGTAGGACAGAAACATTCATCAGAAAACAAAACAGTTGCTCACAGCATTTCAAAAGGGCATGAAAATGGAATGATTCCTTGGACACAATCTGTCACACTTCAGCTGCAATATGCTACCAGAAATGATCTCAATTACATCTTATACCTTTATGACGCTTTTCATCAGACACAAGCCGATTCCCTTACCTAAAATAGATAAAAAGAATGTTCTTCTTGGCATACACTGATAAACACAAGTGTGATGTTATGATGGCTTACCTCTCTCACTAGGGATAACAAACAAATCATTCATGTAAATTCCTCTTCCTAACTTGGAGTTAAACGTGTAGTAGTATGTGCAGAATCCTATGAGTTTTTTCTCTTCATTGTCTGATTTATCTTCTTTTATTCCAGCAACTATGCAGTTTACCCATGGATTTGTTCCAAAACAATCTTGTATGAATTCTAGTTCAAAAAAGCATTATAAATGATGCTAGCTATAACGATGAAACTATTTTACAGACACATATTAGTCGAAAAATGAATGTTATCAAAAAAGGTTCTACATTGTTAGAGTATTGTAATCAAAAAAGTTATAAGTTATAAGTTTTCCAAAAATGCCCTCAGCAAATATACTATTTGATAAAACCATGCAATCAGAACAAATGTTATTGACACTAAAAACTAGACGATCAGCGATCGTTTMCATGGGCTTCCTGTGGTATCACAATCAGCAAACAAAGACGTTAGTGACAATAGTTTTATTGTGGAAATCGAAGAATTGTATTATATTGAGCCCTAATAAAGTTAATATTACTAAGACAAAAGCAAAAATATTTCTTATGAAAAAAAAAATAAAACAAGCAGTGTACTTAATAGCATTAAGCATAATATTGTGAAAGAAGTTACTTAGCATGTTTGACGAGCCATTCCACGTAAACACAGGTCGATAGTCTTTCATGTTCTTCGCTCAAAATACTTCCAATCATTTCATTTAGATAGTCTTTTGTGATTGCAGAGCCGTATATAACTTAATTCGCTTATTCACGATAGGAAGATTCACGATAAATTCACGGTATCCCTACAAATGCCCTTTCGAAAAACGCTCGACATCATTTAATGCTTCTATACCGCGAATGACACGTGKATTTGTAAGAGATTTGAGCGTATTTGTATAGCTAGATCCGTGATTTCCATCTCTAAACGATCCTTTTAAACTTTGTATGCGAAGGTCCGAAATGAAGCACGAGGCAAGCTTAGAATCGTTGCTTAGAAACATGAATGACAATAACACAATAGAAAAGGTCCCGGATATACCACTTTGAAGCATGTTGAAGGAAAGTCATCGGTAATTTTAGACATGGTCTTCCACAGGAAGCCCATGTAATAATAATCTTTTTTTATGATAGGTACATGTTAGTGATGACTCAGAGATCGCCGACCATTGTAGTGTCTACGCCACTAGTGATCCCAATGACAAAAACCTCCAAAAACGATGTTCCCATAAACATGAACAAAGATATGAACAGTGTGACGCATTGGACATTGCCATCAAGGGAATAGAGATGCTAATGAGAAACTTCTTTCCGAGCGACTGTGATGCAGAGGCAATGTTTGTCTTTAATTCATCATGCCGTGCAATACAGAACTGGAAGTGCCACCAGCTAAGATCGGTGAGGCAAGACCAAGCCCGTCATGACATCCTAAACAAGATCGATGACAATGTTCTAATTATCAATGATTATTTATGCCTCAAATGTACCGTGAATCACAGAGTGTTTGGCAAGCGAGGGATATCGTGGCATATATCTGTTGTTTATCGTAGGATAAATGGTGAACTACAATGGCAAGCATTTATTCACGTTATCCAGACCTGCAGCCAAGACAGCCCTGTAGTTGTTGTGATAATGCAACACATCCTCCAGACCTTAAAGAAAGGAGCATCTCGAGATAGCAAATGCCTATTTCCGCCAAGATAATGCTGGGTGCTATCATTCTGCCACTACAATCCTCTCGTGCCCTACTATCTCTATCCGGCATCAAAATAGAAGCGATCGATTTCAGTGATCCACAGGGTGGAAAAGGAGCTGCTGGAGTTTACAATCTACTTAAACTATGTTTAAAGTAAGAAACCATCTTTTACAGCATGACATGTGTAAATGACGATTTCAATATTTACTGCAAAAGTATCACATAGATTTTAGACTTTCACCGACTATCTACTAGAAATCATTGTTCAGTGAATTTGACTGAGAGATCGGCAACTATTCCGGTGAGATGATTACTTGATTGCTGAAATCACAAGCTGCTGTCAGTTGTTATTGCTGTCAAATCAACACGTGCTTTGACTGTAAACATTKACCTCTTGGAAATATTTTTGCAATTTTGTAAATGAATTTTATATCTTAACACAATTTTTTGACTACTATATTCCACTATAGACCGATAAATATTTAAATAAACTAAAGATTGTGAAATTGTGCTACTGGTATGAGGTATCCAGAGTTCAGTTGTTGTCTGTGTTGGGTTTATCATAGAATTTGGAATATTTTTCCATATCACACTGTTGATGATTCGATTCAATATTAGACTTTATTGCTTGTAATTTCGATTCATTCGATTCGGGTCGGGTCGGGTCGGGATGGGTCGTGTCTCTTTTTACCTACTTCACAATATTCTTCACTTAAATTTATATACACTTGTGTTTTCATAGAGTGATGCATCGGTTGCATCTCACTCACGCTTAAATGTCAAACTATGTGATAATGAATGCATGACTAAACATAGCCCCCGCCTTGAAAGCACTATAGCTTCGAAAAACAAAATAATATAAAAAATGAAATGTTCTCAGTGTTCAATGTTCAATAATATTATACGATAAATGTTCAATTATTCATCTTCTTCTAGAATCAACACCAATTTTGATATCGGTCTGGTATAAGTTCCATTCTGCGTCTTTACGGTGACAACTCTGCACTTTCCATCTTGACCAAAATGAAGGTCTTCTACACGTCCAAGAACCCACTTCGCTGGGGGTGTGTTCTCTTCCTTGAGGATCACCAAATCATTTTTCTGTAGGTTTCTTTTCTCTTTCCTCCATTTCACACGTTGTTGAAGCTGATTGAGATACTCTTTAGACCATCTTTTCCAAAAATGGTGATGTAACTGCTTTAAGTGTTGCCATCTGTTTAAACGATTCACCTTGACTTCAGACAAATCCTCTTCTGGCAATTGGTTCAGCGGTGTTGTTACCATAAAATGACCGGGCATTAACGGTTAAAGATCAGTCGGGCTTGACGAAAGAGTGAGTGGTCTTGAGTTCAAACAAGCTTCAATCTGACATAGAGTAGTATACATCTCTTCATAAGTCAAACTTACATTTCCCAGGACTCTACGGTGGTGATACTTCATACTCTTTATCCCCGCCTCCCACAAGCCTCCAAAGTGACTTCCTCTCTGCGGGATGAAGTGCCATTCCACGTTATCTTGTTGAAGATAARTTGTAACTTTGTCGTTGTGCTCCTCTGAGGCAATAAGGCGGCGAAGTTCTTTGCGAGCGCCAACGAAATTGGTACCATTGTCACTGTACATAGCCTTCGGTTTCTCGCGTCTTGCGATGAATCTCTTCAATGTTGAGATGAAAGCTTCAGTACTGAGACTTGTAACGAATTCCAGGTGAATGGCTTTAACCGCTAAGCAAACAAACAGAGCAATCCATGCCTTCTCGGTTCTACTTCCTCGTCCACGACCAGTCTTCAMCRAAACAKGACCAGCAAAATCAACTCCAGTGTTCACAAACGCTCGAGCTCCACTCGTGATGCGATCAGACGGTAGARATCCCATGATCTGTTGCATGGTTTCAGCACGTTGCTGTCTGGATATGATACACTTGTGAACAAATCGTCGGATTAAGTCTCGAGCTCCGATGATCCAATACGTTTGACGAATTGTGGCCATGAGTAACYGTGGACCAGCGTGTAAATTCTTCAAGTGTTCATATTGAATGATCAGCTCAGTCAATCTGTGATGTTTCGGCAACAAAATAGGATGCTTTCCATCGTAGGATCTGTGCTAGGTCAAGGCGTCCACCGACTCGTAAGACTCCATCGTCGTCCAGAARCGGGTTGAGAGCAATTAAGTTGCTTTTTAGATAGCCAATAACCTTTTTCATCAGATGGCTGATTTCCTTGGAAAATCCATCAGCTTGCGCCGACTTGATCAACAGCAATAAAGAGMTTTTCAATTGTGTCATGTCGAGCGGACCAGACCTCTTGTATCTTGGAATCAATCGTCGACACCATGCCACCACACGTACCAGCTTAGAAGAAGAAGAATAGGAAAAAAGACCAAATACGTCAACGCTTGGAGTKAGAACTGCATTGGCTGCTATGACTTCTTGATTACTTCTTTGCTCAKAGCAAACATCTTCTGTGTGCAATACTCTGGGTTGGTCAGGACACAGCTCAGATCCTTTACTTAACCATGGAGGTCTATTGAACCATAGTGGATGAGATAATAGCTGTGTAGGGGAAATCCCTCAACTCGCACAGTCAGCTGGGTCGTCTTGTGACGGAYAGTAGGGCCAATTCGGCGGTCCTACCAAATCTTGAATCGCTTACACGATTACCTACGAAAGCTTTCCATTTGCTTGGTTCTCCACAGATCCAGTTCAAAGTCACAAGTGAGTCAGTCCAACAAAACAAAATCAACGTCAGAAATGAAAACGCAGCTTGGACGCTTTTCATCAATCTAGACAGTAACAAGGCACCACACAATTCCAAGCGAGGTAAAGACAGCCGTTTTAGAGGTGCAACTTTCGTCTTTGCAGCAACCAGACATGTAGTGGTATTGCTATTTAAAGTCTCCGTACGTAGGTAAACACAGGCAGCATACGCAGACTCCGAGGCGTCACAAAATCCATGCAACTCGTACTTAACAACTTTTTCAGCCTTCGGGACAATGCATCGAGGAAACCTCAACTTTTGAAGCTCTTCCAGTTCCGACCTCCAGGACATCCAGGTTTTAAGCAAATCTTCCGGGAGCTCATCATCCCACGAAATTCCTGTCAACCACAAACTTTGAAACATAATCTTGGTAGTTATCAATACGGGTGCCAATAGACCCAAGGGATCAAAAATGCGTGAAGAATCAGATAGGAACAAACGCTTGGTGAAACTTTGAACATCAGACAAACTTTCAATAGGTTGCACCTTGAACAGAAAATCATCTTTAATTGGAGAAAGATACATTCCTAAGGTCTTGATGACGTGATTAGATTGTGCAATGTCTAAATCAAAGTCAATGTTCATTTCACAAAGTTCCTGTGGTAACGCCTTTAGTAGCTTAACACTATTTGAAGACCATTTCCTCAAATTAAATCCTCCACCTTTTAGCATGTCAATAAGTTCTTGCTGGGTTTTCATAGCAGAAGATAAATCAGCTGCACCAGACAAGCAATCATCCATGTACACATCTCTCTTTACGACTGATGAGGCGAGTGGATACGCCTCTGCTTCGTCATCAGCCAGCTTAATCAAACATCGTTGGGCATGATACGCAGATGACGCCACACCAAATGTCACAGTTGTCATTCGGTACTCCTGTACCTCTTGCGTCGGGTCATCCCTCCAAAGAAAGCGATGAAAATCACGGTCGTTAGGGCGTAGAACGACTTGCCTGTACATCTTGGCAATATCTGCAGAAAAACAGACAGGATGTAGACGAAAACGCATCAGAATATACACTAAATCTTGCTGAACTTTCGGTCCAACCATCAAACAGTCGTTTAAAGAATGTCCTGTAGACGTCTTGGCAGATGCGTCAAAAACAACTCTTAATTTGGTAGTCGAGCTGGANGTAAAGACAGCCGTTTTAGAGGTGCAACTTTCGTCTTTGCAGCAACCAGACATGTAGTGGTATTGCTATTTAAAGTCTCCGTACGTAGGTAAACACAGGCAGCATACGCAGACTCCGAGGCGTCACAAAATCCATGCAACTCGTACTTAACAACTTTTTCAGCCTTCGGGACAATGCATCGAGGAAACCTCAACTTTTGAAGCTCTTCCAGTTCCGACCTCCAGGACATCCAGGTTTTAAGCAAATCTTCCGGGAGCTCATCATCCCACGAAATTCCTGTCAACCACAAACTTTGAAACATAATCTTGGTAGTTATCAATACGGGTGCCAATAGACCCAAGGGATCAAAAATGCGTGAAGAATCAGATAGGAACAAACGCTTGGTGAAACTTTGAACATCAGACAAACTTTCAATAGGTTGCACCTTGAACAGAAAATCATCTTTAATTGGAGAAAGATACATTCCTAAGGTCTTGATGACGTGATTAGATTGTGCAATGTCTAAATCAAAGTCAATGTTCATTTCACAAAGTTCCTGTGGTAACGCCTTTAGTAGCTTAACACTATTTGAAGACCATTTCCTCAAATTAAATCCTCCACCTTTTAGCATGTCAATAAGTTCTTGCTGGGTTTTCATAGCAGAAGATAAATCAGCTGCACCAGACAAGCAATCATCCATGTACACATCTCTCTTTACGACTGATGAGGCGAGTGGATACGCCTCTGCTTCGTCATCAGCCAGCTTAATCAAACATCGTTGGGCATGATACGCAGATGACGCCACACCAAATGTCACAGTTGTCATTCGGTACTCCTGTACCTCTTGCGTCGGGTCATCCCTCCAAAGAAAGCCATAAAAACTTGGCAATATCTGCAGAAAAACAGACAGGATGTAGACGAAAACGCATCAGAATATACACTAAATCTTGCTGAACTTTCGGTCCAACCATCAAACAGTCGTTTAAAGAATGTCCTGTAGACGTCTTGGCAGATGCGTCAAAAACAACTCTTAATTTAGTAGTAGAGCTGGACTCTTTCACGACACCATGATGAGGCATGTAGTAAGCGTTATTAGATTTCAATTCCTCTTCGGGGACATTCTCAGCATGACCTAACTCCAGATACTCGCGCATAACTGCAGAATAATCTTCCTTGAGTTTATAGTCACGACTCAAGCGTCATTCCATTTGATGCAGACGTTGAAGTGCCTGAGAACGACTTTCTCCCAGAACAACGTTATCCTTGAATGGCAAAGCAACAATGTATTGACCATTTTCATTTCGAGAAGTTGCTTCCATGAAGTGAGTTTCAGCTAATTTCTCCTCAATCGACCACGGCTTTACGAGCAGAGTATCTTCAATCTCCCAGAATTTTCTCAGTAAATCATCCAATTCCACGAAATGCGACAGACTGCTTTCATCTGAAACCTTGTCATCATCAGACCACTTTGCCTTTACGATAGTCGACCCAGTGATAATCCATCCAAAAATAGACTGTTGTGCGAGCAGACGTCCATCGAGACCTTTGCGCACTCCCATACCATCTACAATCAGAAAAGGATATACATCTGCACCTAAGAGAATATCCACGGGACCAGGAGTAGCAAAATGCTCATCAGCCAATTGTAAACCACTTAATCCAGACAAGTTAGTGTCAACAACAGAACGTCGAGGAACATTGGATGTAATTTGGTCGATCATCAAAGCATTAACCATAACAAACTCCTCAGAGTGCACAGATGACAAATTTAAATCCACAGCATGATTTAAAGTTCCTTTCAAAATCCCTCCAATGCCATTTATGTTGATTCCATTCTTCAACAACGAAGGTCTTAGACGTAAACGTTGTACAAAAGCGCGTGTCACGAAACTTGACTGAGATCCTGGATCAATTAAGACTCTGCATAATATCTNCTGCATTCTTTTTTCCAATACTTTGCATGTTGAAAATTGTGTCAAAATGAGCCTCGCGTATATTCTTGACGTTCTCGTATCTTCCTTTCAATAAATCAATAGCAATAGCATAATTTGCATCATTCAAATTCAAATTCTTGACGAGCTTCTCCCTTGAGACACGATTTCAAATATTGAAGCTTCTGAACGGGCGCTAAATTTGAATGTGAATCAACAGCACATTTACCATTGCGTATATCTTCCACTGAACGATTTCAAATCCAGTTGCAAATCAGACCTCAAATCCACTTGCAGAAACCTTATTAGCAGAAAACAGATTTAACGATTCTTGTCGTTGTGCARTAATGCGTTGCAATGATTCCACTTSATTGTTCACAATTTCTTTAACAGCTTGCAATATTGTTGCATCAAACGTAGAACTAGAAGYTGACGCAGAAGTAGCACGCATCGATTCTTCAGGAAAGTAGTTATCTTCGATAATATCAATTATTTCTTCGATTCCCGTACACTTGTCTTGAAAAACCTTGTATGAATAGTGAATTTCTTCAACCTCTTCGGTTGTCGATGCTTCATTCAACAATTCTTCGAAAATCTGGTCATACCTTTCCTTATAGACTGACAAAGCGTTCCGTTTCTTTGCCAAAACTTTAGAGGTCGTCTTTACACTTTCGCCATCCTCACTAGTAACACTTTTCACATAGTCGTAAATACATTCTACTTAATACTTGATTCCATCCCTTTTCTTGCTAAGTCGCTCCATACTCAATAACGCCAGTAGAAGAATTACTGAAATACGGAACATTTGCAGTACTTGAATCTGTCCATAGAATTATCCAGCTCGAAGGACCATGTTGATGATTCGATTCAATATTAGACTTTATTGCTTGTAATTTCGATTCATTCGATTCGGGTCGGGTCGGGTCGGGTCGGGTCGGGTCGGGTCGGGTCTCTTTTTACCTACTTCACAATATTCTTCACTTAAATTTATATACACTTGTGTTTTCATAGAGTGACGCAATCGCTTGCATCACTCAAGCTTAAATGTCAAACTATGTGATAATGAATGTGTGACTAAACACACACTATTGCTTTTAAAAAAGCTTTATTTCTGCTACAGATTAATTGCAAAAGATTGAAAACAAAGGATTTTAAGCAAAGAAATCAGTTAAAGCAACACTCGGATGGAAAAATTTGAGCTCGCAAGTTGGTAACACTCAAGTGTAAGATTGTGTTACCAAAGGTCAAAATRGGAATACTTCACCTCACTTAGAATTCAGGCATTTTTTGGGCCAAAATAGATATTTTGCCGTGAGTTACTATAATAATTGGGGTTCACGAGAAAATGCTTTTTGTAGCAAAATTTTATAGCGCGTATGAGATATACAGCGTTAAATTTGCTCAAAATTTGATGTATTCTGTAGTAGTATCCAAGTGACGTTACGTAAATATAGAAATTTTTCAGGGAAGTAGTTGTATAGTTGTAAAATTCGATGTGAAATTTTGAATTTCGTARAATATTTTCCTCTGATATGAGAAGTTGTTAAAAATGCACTATTTTTCTTCAATTTCACGCGCCATTGGGCACTATTAACTTCCCTTGATTTCGTCAAAAATAAAAATCGGCCAAACCTTAAAATGTGAATTTCGAAAAGAGTTCATTCACTTCAATCGTATAGTAAAATTATGGAACTTAATCTGCTTCTAAAGATGACTTCTGTAGCATGAGYACTTTCAAACTGTACTTAAAGAAAATTTTGGAAAATGAACTYAACTCTACTTATGACATTGAATTACCATGTACCTGGTCTATGGTGCGCACGTGCGGATGCCATCGCACCACTTAATTATTGTTTTTAATATTTCCTATTGTAACCTTTCGAATTCATATATTTTTTTTTAATTATTTCGGGGCAACACCTCGCATGGGACCTCGTGTCTCGTTCGTGCTGCCCCCTTTGGGCCAATAGACTTTATTTATTTATTTATTTATTTGTTCTTCATATTGTTCATATTGTCATTAGTCTATTCCCAATAAAGTCGTCAAAAAAAAATCCAAAGGTTCTTTTATGCAAAATATGACAATTTTTTTTACACAACTGTCAGACGATTCTCGATTTTTACAGGCAGTTGCTCTTAAACCCTAATAAACATTTGTTGGTCTGGCTACCATGCAGCCACGTACACCTCCTTTATGAATTCGTAAAAGAGTAAAGATTGGACAGAAGTCATGTTTTTCATGTTTTGTTTACGAAATTTAACTCTTAAGATAGATATCTTGAGAAAATAGGGGACATATTTCAAACTAACTTTAATCAATTTTTACCAAACTTTTAATCACAATATTGTACTGGCAACTTTATATACGAACCTTCTAAGCATATCCCTTTGTACTTTTGTGACATATCATGATAGGCAATCATATCCTGTAAAAATATAAATAAGTTTGACTAAGCTGTCAATTTAATGACAATTAAACACACAAACATAGCTTTTATGGTAAATGATGATCAGTTTAATAGCTCACTTTTTACAGAGTATGTTTACTGGAAAAGATTTTTCATTCCATGTAACTTTTTTGGTTAAAAAAAGTTGAATCACCTGCAGCAGTGAGGTAATATCAGGAAGTATTTGTAACACATAAGTAGTTGCTTGTACACATGATACATGCATATGTATTATTTCACTAAAATATCCACCAACACAAGGTAAGCAGTTGACCACCATCCAACACCATCTATTTCAACCTGAAACAACCATTATCATCTGCTTGACCGATCCTGCCTACTCACCTTTATAAACTGGATAACTGCAGCAGCATCATCCAGAGCTGCTTCACGAATAGTCCATGACATTTTAAAATTGGTAACTGTATAGCCAAAAATCTGAAAGAATGAGTTAAACAACTTATCTGCATCTTAAAATAATAGCTATTGCTAAAACTGATTTTCTTTTCAGGTTTTTTTTTCACACAGCACGCATTAACAGGAAAATTGCCATTAGTCAACAGCCTAAGCAACAACAATTTTTGATTTTCTCTTTTATGCAAACAGAAGTGAGATTCATAATAGTCAGCATGTTTTATCAATATAAATCCTGCATACAGCACAAGTTTTGTGATATGCCCAGAATTCAGACGAGAAAAAAAATACAAAACTTAGTATAATCATAACAAATCATTGCTTTCTCTCATCACAAGTTGGCCAACAAAGAGCAACACTATAACCAAGATTACCAAATGCTCTTTTTAGATCTGTATATAAAAGTACATATGACAATGCAGGGGATTTAGGAGAAACCACCATACAAAGTGGAGACATCCAAAACAATCCAGGTCCTGTTCAACCTGTCACTTGTTCAAAACTTAGGAAGGAATCAAAATCTACACCTTGCCCCAAATGTATGAAAAGCATACCAAAATAACCACAAACGTTTTATCTGCACTAGCTGCCTTGATATTGATCTTCCTGTCGACTTAATAATAATATGTGGTCTTATATGGCGCATTATCACACTGTTTGACAATGAAGTAATGGTCAGACCGCTATCTAAGGCACACAGCAGCTACGCGGCTTACAATCATGAGTGTGAGTTGGTTCAAGTAAGTAAGTCACTGAGGTTGGTCACTGCCAGAGATTTGTTTAYATCCTCAGTGGTTCTTTTACGTCCACCTTATAACAGGGTTGGAGTGAAAGTAGACAGGACACCTCCGGCTTTACGTCCTTATCCGAGAAGATGCGGCAATGGAAGAGTAAAATATCTTGCCCAAGGACACAATGTGATCGCCCGGTCTGGGAATCGAACCCAGGTCTTTCAGACCTGAGTCCGGTCCCCTAACCACTAGACCATCATGCCTCTTGACTTTGACTTAAAGAATGTCAAAGCCTCCAAGACCAGAGAATGGACATGTACAAAATGCCTATTCACAGAACTGCCATTTTATCGAAACGATCTTGATAGCAGCTTGGATTCTTAGAGTGAAAACATAAATACTTCGATGAATGTTACAGCTGGAATACATTACGTAAATCAACATGAAGAGCTTAATAACTAATCAACTTAAAGTCTTACATTTGAACACATAGAGTATTCTATSTACCTTTGATGAGCTTTTGGCTATAATCAAAGAGTATCCTTTTGATGTTGTAGCGATGAGCGAAATTTGGCTGAAGAACAATTCACACTTCTTATATTGTGTAACCATTCCTGGATACTCAATTTTATACCGCAACCGTGATAACATCCGTTGGGGTGTACATTAGAGAGTCTCTTCAATTCAAAAGAAGAACTGATGTTGAGGCTATGGAACCTGAACTGGAACACATGTGGCTTAAGATTAGTGGTCGCAATAAGCACAGCAACTTGCTACTAGGAGTTATGTATCGTTCCAAACGAATGTCAAATAAAAAAAAACTAATAAAAACCTTTCAAATGAATGAACTGATGCTTTTAAAATCTATTGATTTACTGAGTAAAGATAGAATAATGAACAGATTTTATGAGAATTTTAACGATTTTTCTGGTCGTTTATAAGAGCTCAGTGATGGCGTGAGCACCGTTTCAGCTTTTTTCYTCAAATGATAAGAAAATACCAAAGCTTTATACTTGTGAAACTTGCAAGAAGGTGTTTCAGGTATCCAGTGGTTTSTGAAAACACCGAAAAAAGTTCCCAGAACACAGTACAACGAAAAATCCGCCAAATACTACAGCCGACGAAGCAGTTTCCGAATTTCTGTCAGCAGTGAACCAAGTAAATTAATTTTATTTTACACATTAAAGTACACATCGGATGTCAAATATATTTTATTTCAAAACATATTACAAATTTCCAACGAACTGAAATAATTATTTGCTGGTAACAGAAATGCACGGCTAAAAGCATTAGTAAATGCACTAACAGAAGAAGAGATCAGTAAAATTATACTGCTAAAGTTGCCCAAAGAACAAGCCCTTATGACTTCCTTGTAAGCAAAGCAACATCTACATCAGCTTTTTTCTAAACTTCCAAGGTTTTTCCTAAAAGCCCGTTATCAGCCATATCCATAGCAACAGCTTAAAAACGCTTTAAACTCTTATCTATATCTATATCGTGCCATTTATTGCCAATTTTTTCCCTTGGAAACCCGCCGAAATTGATTGGAATTGGATCGGTGCTTGTTTCCGTAGTATATAAACATGATGCAATCCATTGCAACACCCCACTGAGCACGTGGAGATTGCTGTAACACAAGCTAGAAAATTCTGCTGTTCAAATAGACCTAATAAGCTTCAAACCCGATTCAAACCACCCGGGAGTAAGTWACATTTTTTGTTGTATTTTCATTTCACAGTTGATTTCTTAGAAACAAAAGTTCTTTTTCCCACAGGACTTGAATTGGGTGCCAATGAACATAGCAAGGCCGTTAGCCGATTAGGTCTATTGACCATGAAAAACAGTCAACAAACTAATTTTTTTGTTTCCAATAGACAGTTCTAGTAACATAACATTTTATGAGGCATGGAAGCGTGAGGAGCAGACACGTTTTTTCGTCCTCCTGGAAGATTTAACTTTTCTTCCTTTCTAAACTCTTATACTTCTCGTAATGACTAAAGATAAACAAACTAAAGATGATGTTAAAAAACAGACAGAAAAATGACGATTTGAAGGAGAAAATCACCGAATTACACAATCAACAAAAAGTGAAGAAACTCGAAGCAAACCCGAATACTGAAGAACTACAAGACTCTGTCAACTTCTTCAGTACAGAATATGACGAATTTAAAGCAAAAMAATTTAATTTGGATAGCGATATCAAGTCAAACGATGAGAAATTGTCTTGGATTACTAAAAAAGTCTATGAAATTGATGAGGCAATTGAATCAATCATGACTTATAGTTGTCAATATAACGTTAAAATCGTAGGCTTACCCCAAGCAACAGCTAGCAGTGAATCTGCAGTAGAAACAGTTGATCTATGTGTGAAATTTTTTAATGAATTGGGTGCYAATGTAAGCCATCAAGATATCTACATCGCTCATCGCTTACCTAGACGAGATGAATCTAAACTTGCAACTAYTGTGTGCAAATTTACGAGACGCATCGCCAAGGAAGCCGTATTGGTCAAGAAAAACGGAACTTCGAACATTGATATCCAAAAGCTCGTACCAACGTGCAATGAAAGATTCATTGACTCAAGGGTCCTTATCTTTGAACATTTAACACCAAGAAAACAGGACTTACTCAAACAAGCAAAATCCTTTCAAAAAGAATTCAATTATGCTCATTGCTGGGTTAAGAATAGTGAAATTCTATTMAGAGAAAGCAACGAGGGTAAGGTAATCAAGGTAAAGAATCAGTCAACTTTGGATGGGTTAAGATCAACTTCAAGCTTAGTTGCAAGTGCCTTGAGTTCTCCTCTACCTGTACTATATACTACACGAGGCCATAGCAGGGGCAGAGGATCGTCAAGCAGAGGCCAAAGAACCAGGTCAGGAAATAATTGACAATCGTATAAAGATCTCAAGTCACAATCACAATAATGACAAGAAAGTAGATAAGTATGCCTCGTCATTGCAAACGTACAGCTAAGGAAAATAAAATCCTTTTACAGGAATTACCATATCATTCTGTAAATAATATACCTGCCGTTCACGGACAGTTTAACAATCTGCTTTAAAATAACCGGCTAATAACGAAGAGATATCTCGAAAAATTGCATAGTTTGYATGATCTGGATATCTTCTTGTTAAACATGAGGCAAAATAAACCCTGATTCCCAATGTTATAAACAAATACATGCCAGGTATTATTCGCCGTACAGCTTCAGCATCGTAAAACTCATCATTTTCAATTATACATAACAATGAGAATTAGACCAATATGGTTAGAACAACTAAAAGCGTAGCCAAGGAAAATAAATGTTTTTTTCAAGAGCTATCTTATGTAGTGTTTAAAAAAACGAGCAGGAGTGCTTTATCGGGAGATATAGACACGAGCCCCAAGTCMGAGTGTCTATATCCCCGATAAAGCACGACTGCCAGTTCTTTATACTACTTCTAGAACTCCAACATCCAGAAATTGTTATCATTTTAGAAAAAAGCTAAAAAATGTTCAACTTCTACTGAGCATGTGCATTCACAAATGAATGAATTTTGATCCCACACGTAAGAACGGCTAGTCTATGCTATACTGCATATCTGCACATTGATTCAAACTGATTTAAAACCTAGCAAAGGTCTATGATGCGACATTAAAACTGAGACCTTTGCTAGTGTTGGGTTACGATAAAGTGCTGGTGACCTTCGATTAATAAAACATCAGTTCTATATCTCTCCGCATAGCTTTAATGATAAAGTTAAGGGAAATTACCAGAAACCTTCGCTCTCAATTTTTCATAACAATATTCGTAGTCTACAATTACACATAGATGACCTTCAATCACATTTGCTGGATGAACTAGGTCATAATTTTGATATCATAGGTGTAAGTGAAACTAAAATTCATACGTCAACATACCAGCCAATGCTTAATTTGAATATTTCTGACTATAATTTTGAACACGTACCAACGCCCTTATTGTTTGGAGGCGTTGGATTGTATATCAATGATAAGCTTAACTACTCAGTCATTGAAAAACWGTCTAACGAGGCCTTTCAAGCTTTATGGATTGAAATCTAATTTGCTGATAAGACGAATATCATCTGTGGTATTATCTATCGTCAACATAATTCTCCTAGTACCTTTTTGTCRTATTTTGATGAAGCTTTGATGAAGCAGTTTTTATTGATCTGAAATGGCATTTGATACTGTAGACCATTTAATTCTGCTTCAAAAGCTCTCTATATATGGAATAAGAGGAATCTACTCTAATAACTTTTTTCATTTATTTTATTTATCAACAGATCTCTTGTATTGGTGCTTCGCATG